TTAATTTTCATTAAATTTTAACTTAAAAAAATTACAGCACCTAAAGAAATATATTGAACAAATTGAGCTGTTTCTTTATTTTTAAAGCATTAATTTATCCAATAAAAGTTTTTTAATTATAATATATGTTAATATTTTTTAGGTTAATAATATCAGAGAAATTATTATTCATAATTTCATATTACTTAACTTGTACGGGATATGTAACCCTCGCTAACCCCTATGGTGGAAAAATTATTATGTCCGGACAGAATACCGAGCATACCGAGTGTATCGAGTGCGGTACCGAGTGCGGTACCAAGCGCCAAAGTGATGTGACACTTTGTTATTGGTCTATGGATGTGTTCGGTGTCCAGACACAATAATTACTCACTCCGATGGGGTTTTATTAATCAGGGACTTCGCATGGAGCGTAATTGAGCGATGTATTAAAATGGACGTAGTAATTTAAAATATGACCCTTTCACAATTTTAAAAAAAAAAACAAAAAAGAAAACTAATTACAATTGATAAATCCTCAAAAAATTATCTTGATCAGGCACGAATCTTGAGGCAAAATCATGCTGGAAACTTTAAAAATTAAATACGGGACTACATGATCTCCGATTTCAGCAAACTTACAGTCAAACAGAGCGTCTCAGAAATACAAACTCAACGACACCAAATTCGACTCAATCTGAGCCCAAATGAGTCCAAATCAAGCACTCGAAGCGCTATTGAAAAGTTTGAACCACAATTTGAGTTACTAAACAGTTTCTAAATATGACCTGCTTATAGTCGAATCGAGTGGCTTGATGAGACAAATCCAACGAGTCCAATATCGCCAAATTCCGACATCATTAAGACCTTCAAATGTCTAACAAACGGTATATGATCAAGGAATTCAATATCGGCCGTCCATCCAACCACTCCTCATTTACCCTTGATATCTCACCTATTTATAGGTCATGCCACTCCGTAATATCTATAAATACACCCCTCATTTCTCTTGAGAGGGGACCAGAGCAAGAGAAGAAGGAGAAGAGAAGAGAAGAAGGATAAGAGGGAAGAAACTCCTCCCCGACCATTGTCAGAGTTCAGCCCGACATTCAAGTGACGACGTAATTCCGTCCGACTTCCAAGAGATGCCGCAATTTTGCCCGACCTCCACGGGACGCCGGAATTCTGCCCAACTTCCATGGGACGCCGGAGTTCTGCCTGACTTTCGAGTGACACCAAAACTCCGCCCGATCTGCAAGTAACGTCGGAATTCTGCCCGATCTCCAAATGACTTTGGAGTTTTGCACGAATACGCCGGAGTTCTCCTCGGCCATCAACTGTCATCGGACTTCTATTCAACACCGGACCTCAACTCGTCGTCAGATTTCTACCCAACGCTGGACTTCTGTCCGTCATTGGATTTTTGTCTATTGCTAGACTTCTACCCGAATATAGTCCTTCTAACTTATGTCACCCACCAACTACAGTCCTTCCGGTCTCCGTCGTCCACCGACTACGGTCCTTCTGACTTACATCGCCCACCAACTACAGTCCTTCCGACATTTGTCACTCATCGACTACAATCCTTCCAGCCTCCGTCGTCCGGCGACTACGATCCTTCTGTCTTACGTTGCCACCGACTACAGTCCTTCTAACCTCCGTCGTTCGCCGACTATGATCCTTTCGTATTATGTCGCCAACCGACTATGGTCATTCTAACTAAACGAACACATCAACAATGATTCTTTGTATTCACATTATGAAATGTACTCTGTAAGATGTACATCAAGCTAAGGCCTTCCCCCAAGGATGGGCCTCATTTGTAATCAACTGCAATAATAGTGAATTCATTCAAACTGGGCTAGGCCCTGTGGTTTTTCTCCCTTTTTAGGGGTTTTTCACGTAAAATCTTGGTGTCTCATATGAATGCTACACTCTCTCTCTTATCTGATTGCGAGTCAGATTATTGTACAACGCTAAGATGTTAATTTTATATTTCTCTACCGTCGCGAATACTCCAAGACGCAATAACAATAAACCCGTAATGTTTTTCCTTGAACAGCTAACAATTTTTATGGCTAGAAATTAGTCAATAAAGTTTTAATTTTTTTAATTGACTTATTCCAATAATATTTTTTACCAAAAAGATCTTTGTTGAGTCCTGGAGTTTTCGCGGCGATAGAGAAATATAAAGTTTAGCGTCTTTGCATTGTTCGAAGATCCAACGCATAAGCAGATAAGAGAGAGGGTGTAGCGTTCATAAGAGACATTAGAGTTTTTACGTGGAAACCCATGAAAAGAGGAAAAAATCACGGGCATGGCCCAGTTTGAATGAATCCACTAATATTTGCTCTCGATTACATATGAGGCCCTTCTTAGGGAGAAGGCCTTGGTTTTATGTCACAAATGTACATCATATATAGTGCATTACATTGTGTGAGTTACAATAATCAACATAGACATGTTTGTTTGGTCAGTAGGACCATAGTTGATAGGATAATGGTCAGAAAGACTGTAGTAGGCAGGAGACCGGGATTAGAAAGACCATTATCCGGTGATGTAGGTCGGAAGGACCGTAGTATGCAGAAGACCTGTCACGACCCGACCCGACGGATTTCGTCCAGACGAACCATACAGCCAAAACTGATTTTCTGCACAACCTGTACCGATCGTCCCGGACGATCCAACTTCGTCCCGGACGAACCTGGAGCAAAAACTGATATTACAAGACCGATGTCAGAATGACTGTTGTCTAGCGATGTAGGTCAGAAGGACCATAATCGGCAGGAGACAATGGTCCAAAAGATCGTAGTCAGTCGGAGATCGAGGTCAGAAAGACTGTTGTAGTAGGGTGGTACTCTGGTAGAAATTTAGGCATTAGGTGGTGGCCCGACAGAAGTCTTAGTCTCAAGTGGTGGTCTGGTAGAAGTCTGGGCCTGAAGTGGTGGTATGCAGAAGTCCAAGTCTCAGGTGGTGGTCCGACAGAAGTCCGGGCGTCAGGTAGTGGTCTGACAGAAGTCCGGGTCTCAGGTAGTGGTCCAGTAGAAGTCCGGGCCTAGGGTGGTGGTCCGGCGGAAGTCCAGGCCTCAGGTGGTGGCCCGACGGAAGTTAGTCGGTGGTCGAGGAGGAGCGAAGAGGCAAGAGCGATCTCCGATCTCTCTCTTGCTCTTTTTTCTTGGAGCCCCTCCTCTTTCAAGAGGGAGGAGGTGTCTATTTTTAAATTTCCTGGAGCGGCATGACCCATAAATAGGTGGGATCAAGGGTATATGGGGAGTGGCTTGGATGGACAGCCGATATTGAATCCCTTGATCGTTGACCATTTGACGGACACTTGAATGTCTTAGTGATGTCAGAATTCATTGATCTTAGGCTCGTTGGATTTGTCTCGTCATGCCGCTTGATTCGACCATAAGAACATCATGTTTGGAAATCGTTTGGTAATCCAAATTGTGGTTCAAACCCTCTAACAGCGCTTTGGACCCTTGATTTGGACTCATTTGGGCTCATATTGAGTCGAATTTGGTGTCGTTGGGTTCATATTTCCGAGGCGTTCAGTTCGACTATAAGTTTGCTAAAATTGGAGTTCAGATGATCCCAAATTTAAATTTTGAAGTTTTCAACTTGATTTTGCATCGAGATTTGTGCCCGATCAAGATAATTTTTTGATGATCTATCAATCTTAAAATTATTAAATTTATTATAAAATAAATATAATGTATATGAAATTTATCAAAATTAGTATTATATGAATCTTAAATAAATATAAATTATTTTAATTCATTTTAATTATTTTTTTTAGAATTGTTACGTGCTTAAAAAATTATGGCGATAGAGTTAGTATTTAATATCTTAGCTATTGAAAAAATTCCAACACTCATAGGAAAAAAATTTATAGGAGACTGAAAAAAAATTATGTGAAAAACTTGAAAAGAAAAAAATCATGGAATGTTCCAATTGAATAATCTACTATTTAACAGGAATTATAAGGATTCTCCTTTCCTCACAATTGAAGAGGGCTAGATTATTTGAGAACATGTATGTAAATTTTCTTATAAATATTACATAATTTATATGTACACAAGTAGACAGTTAAAAACACAACAATGAGGTTATATCTTGTTAAAAGTCAGGACATTATAGTAGCAATTGCTAGAGGTGGCCATCAGTGATGATAGCTAGAAAATGCAAGAAAGATTTTAACTATATCAGCTTTTGAACCTCCCCCTCTATAGAGAATGATGCCATATTTCTAAGCTTTTAGGAAGATTTGGCTAGAATACATATCAGCCTATCGTGTGGTCCATATCAATCTTCTTAATTGTAGATTGTTTATCAAATATTTTAATGCCTTAATATGGTTTGAATCAGCTGATCTTAGGCTCATTAGATTCGTCTAGTTAAGCCATTGGATTAGACTATAAGCATACTATAATTGAATTTGTTTGGTCCATCAATTAATATTCAAAAGTTTTCAAATAAAATTCATCTATTTGATTTGAGCTTATTTGAAGCTGAGTCGGTCATTTGAAATCCAATATGTTTGTCTCATTGAGAAGTTCAATTCGATTATAAATTTGCTTAAATAGGAGTTGTATAATCCAAAATTTAGTTATGAACATTTTTAATTTAAATATTATCTTGATAATTTACAAAACATTTAAATTTTGTACATTCGTATGAAGAATGTATTGAGCTAATTTAAAAAAATAAAATAAAATAAAAAATAGAATGATGGCACATATATGTTAAAAAAAAAACAGGGTGAAATTAGGCCTATATATATAATTCGTCTTGATGTGTTGGTTGAAAACTTTGAAAAGTAAAAAAAAAAAAAAAAAAAAAAAAAAAAAAAAAGAAGAAGAAGAAGAAGATTAAAAGCTTGACAATCAAGAATTTATCTTAATGACCTAAATGTTTCAACAAAAAAAATAAAAACGAGGCCTAGGACAACCTCCGAACGAAGCAAAGTTCTTTCAGTAGCAATCTAGAAACGTCCGCCACCAGAAGCGAACCGAAGCACCCTAGGTGCCCTTCCCGTAATTATCACGCAATCCCAGCCCCATTTCCATCATCTAATTCTTACGAGAATCGGCCATTGTATAAATCTAACACACGCGCTCCTCAGGTCCTTCGTTCTCTCCCTTCCGATCAAATTCCAATCCGATCACCGGCGACATCATTAATGGGTTCGCGCTACGAAATAGAGGTGACGATCCGGTCTGCCCGCGACCTGAAGAACGTGAATTGGCGAAAGGGCGACCTACGCCCCTACGCCGTGGTCTGGATCGACTCGTCCGCAAAAAGCTCGACGAAAGTCGACATCGACCACGACACCGATCCCGTTTGGGACGAGAAGCTCATAATCCCCCTTCCCCCGAATATCTCACTCCGCGACGCTACTCTCCACATCGACATCGTCCACGCCAACGCTGACGAGGGTATTAAGCCCCTCGTCGGCTCAGCCCGCCTTTCCCTTTCCGAGGTTGCTGATGAGGCCGGCATCGGCGGGAAGCTCGATCGGACCCTCAAGCTCAAGCGCCCCTCCGGTCGCCCGCATGGTAAGCTCGATATCCGCGTTTCCGTCAAGGAGGACCCTAGGTATTACGATCCCTACGCCCAGCCGCCTCCGGCTTACGGGCAATCCTATGGAAATCGTGAGGCCCGCGATCCATATGGCTACGCGCCTCCACCGACAGGTTACCCTTACGGTGGGCCTACCGCGCCTCCATCTGGGTATCCCTACGGCGGGCCGGCGTCGGCGCCGTCGCCGGCGGGGTATCCATATGGCGGGCCTCCAGCAGGGTACCCATACGGAGGACCTCCCGCCGGAGGGCCGCTGGGAGGAAACCCTTACGGAGGTTCACAGCCAGCGTACGGGCAGGTGGCTTCGGGATCTGGGAAAAAATCGAAGTTTGGGATGGGGACCGGATTGGCCGTTGGGGCGGCAGCGGGGGTACTTGGTGGTTTGGCTTTGGCTGAGGGCGTTGATTACGTGGAGGATAAGATTGAAGATGATGTTGCGGAAAGAGTGGAGGATGATTACTACGACGACTATTAGCTGTGTATTTCTTTGGTTGGGCGAGCATCGGGTTATCAATGCGTGGATGCTGGGAATTATTTAAACTTCGATGAGTTCTGCTTCTTGTTCTTTTTATTTACACTTGCGTCAGTGCATCAGATCTTTTTATACTTCTGGTCGTTCATCTGTAGAAGTTTTATTCAAATCAAAAGGCGTGAACTTGATTATATTCTTGTTTTGTTGAATTCGCTGTTGGATTTCGATTATTCGCGTGAGATTTAATTCGAGAGAGTTTTAGGGGCTGTTTGGTAGCATCCAAGATTTGATTTAAGTAGAATTTAGTAAATCCTGAAAACTGTTTGGCAACTTTCATGATAAATCCTATTAAATTTCATGTGACTGTTTGGCTATAGAGCGGATTTAAAGAGTGGACTCTTCCTCTAGAGCCAATGATTTTCGTAAATTCGGCTAACATAGGATTTCATAAATCCAGGATTTAACAGGAAAAGTCGGAATTTTCCGCCTAGGGCGGCTTTCATTTGCTGTGAGATTTGGTTTTGCATTTTAGGCCGTTTGGCTAGATTTCGCTCAAGTCCGACTCAAATCCAGCCTAAATCCTGTTACACCCCTTAGAGTGGACAAATTATTACGTGTAGCATCCGGATTCGTCCAGAGGCGAATCCGGACGCGCCACATCACTTCGACCCCGGTGCATCCTGATGACATGGTGTGTCTGAATTTGCCTCCGGATGATCTGAACACAACACATAATAATTTGCCCTTAGAGTGAGGGGGAACTCACCTCAACCACTCCTATGGGATTTAACACGGACGGCAAAGAGAGCCGGCCAGCAATTATTATTGCGTTTATAACAAAGACTAGCTCCGATTATACGTTGGGGAGGTGCGATGATTTTTAAATGAATTTGGGCAATTGGTTATACTTGTTTGATTGAGAATTTTTCACTATTAATTTGATATAAGAATATGAATCCGAAAAGGTCAATGTGTTTTAATTTTTCTATCGTCTCGTTAAGGAGGTGCAGTCTATTGGTCAATTTGTAAATAAACTGATGATAATATAATATTTATATAAAAAAAGAATCGAACATATCTAATCAGATTTATGTTTATTTATTTATTTTAGATATGCTCTTTTGAAATTCTTCATTCTAGCATATGGTGGGTGGAATGGCGTGCTTGGCACAAATAAATTGGGGGAAAAAAAATAGTCAGAATGTGCTTTCGATCGGGATCAATCTTAGAATTATTAGATTTATTCAAGATAGCTATAATATTTATATTTATTTTAATTAATTATTCTTACGATGGATTCATCTCAAAATGAACTCAAACTGTGATGCAATGTACTCAAACTCTGATGCTGCACCAATAAATATAGTGGGTTAAAATTTTATTTAGGACAGTTTTAATACTGTTTTTTAAAGCAGATTTTTAATTAAAAATTTTAAGTTTAAAAATTTTTTGTACTAGGGAGTAGAAAGAAAGTCGTCTCAAATGAAGCCTAAGTTTACATAATGGTGTGATGAGTCCAATAAGCACTTGAAAAAAGGAGAACAAAAGAGCTGAATTTGAGTTTGACTAATATTCTTTAATTAAGGTTGTTCATGAAGGAGACAACGATTCGTTTGGAATGTTACAACTTTTTTATAAAGGTGATGATAAATTATCGTGAAGAAAGTAAAGCTTTTAAAAATTGTTATAGAAAGCAGTTTTTTAGTACAAAAGTTTATTAAAAGCATTTATCAAATAAAAACTGTGGTTGCGATTTGAAAAGCAAATCAATAAGGATGTTATTTGTGTCATTTATTATATGTATTAATAATTTTTATTGATCATAATTGTATAAAATAAATGATAAATGATGTCACTTGTTCTATAAAATTTACATCCCAATTCACAAAGGTTTAGATTTTTCAAAATTCTTCATTTTGATCCTTCATTAATAATTTTTTCCTCATTTTTTTCCTAACAAAAATTTAATTGGGAAAAATATAATGAATATATTCCTCCACTTTCACCTCTATTCTCACTTTTTATTGATTTTGATGCATTCGTAAGTTCTTTCAATGATGACTATTTGTGCTAGCAGGTTTTTTACCATAAATTTTTGAGCTCTTGCCTTTGTCAAGATCTTCATATTGGTGTTAGATAGCCTATGAAGCATCTTTGGTCGACATAACGGTATTAAGAACTTGATGTGGAGAATCCCCTTAAGTTTTAAAATTGTAATAATACCTTAGTTCATGTGCCTTATTACAGTCATCCACATATCTATTTATTTACTTAGCATATCACCATTGAATTTAATCGGCCTAGTACTTGTCATATAAGCAACCCTGTGGTGTGATTGACTGATTTGGCATTTTTTCTAGGCATGCAAGAACCAGGCTTAATTTAGGCAAAAATATTTACGGTTATAGAATTAGAGAGTTTATTCTCTTAATATTGTATAAAGATTCATCATACACATAAATAAAAGAGAAGTTGCAAGAGCACAAAAAATTTGAAGTGAAAAACTAAAAAAATGGAAAAATATAGGGCTTATCACAATATGAATGATTTTACTAGTGTTTGTCATCACTAACAATTGATGTCCTTCCTCAAGAGAAGGCATTGATATAATTTAATAAACATATTAAGTGGTGGAAATTGTTGGAAGAGCTTATGGTATGATGGTTATCTTTAAGAAATTGTTTACTTGTTTGTTTGACCGAACTCATTTGAGGAGGGGAGATTAGAGACCAAAGAGTTTATCATAATTATAATGCTAACATAGAGAGTTAAGAGTTGATTTCGACGACATGCTTCAATCTTATAACCAATACCATGTGTTGACATTGTCAGTAAAGAGAAGTATGAAAAAAAAAGCCAGCATGTGTCTGCACAATCACGAGACAACGATCAAAGAATTGTAGTTGGATGATGGTGGTCAACAACCATAGCTAAAAAATAATGGTTGGAGTACCATAGTCAGGCGATGGTGCTTAGATGATTGCAATCAGACAACATTAGGAAGGATCGTAAAAGGGATATAATGATCATAGGGTCATAAGATGATTATGATGCTAGGAGGGTTGTAGTAAGGCAACGATGGGTAAGAGAACTATAGTTAGGTGACATGGGCTTGAGGATCGTAGTCAGACGATTGTGGTCGGAGGACTATAGTTGAGCAACAATGATTGAATGATCATAATCGTGCAATGAAGTTTGGAGGATTATAATCGGGTAATAGTGGTCAAAGGCTTGTAATTGACCAACAGTATTCGAAATACACTAGTCAAGCGAGGAAGGTTAAAGGCATGATGCCCCAAGATTTAATTTGAAAAAATTCTCTTTTTTATCATCTAATTAAATTCCAAAGCAACCAATAACATATATACACATAATATAATTTTATAGAAATAATATTTCATTTTAAGTCCCAAAAGAATCATATAAAATTGTCATGTCTGCTACCAATTACATCAGTCTATCATAATTACTCATAACTACAAAAGAATAAATAATACAAATAAAATTCTTGTAACATTAATTTTGGATAAACCTCACTGCACTATGTATTTACCTTTCATTGAATATATAAATCACATAATGAGTTAATATCATAGTAGGTCATCATAACCTTAGCTAAAATTGTAATCAAAGCACGAAATTAAAAAAAAAAAACAATATGCATATTATCATTCAGATCATACAATATGCATTCAGATCAAATTTGCATGATCATATAACTGTTAGTTTGAACAACATCAATTCACATGAATAGTAGTATGCTGGTATAAATAGTAGTAACCAGTATGAACATTAATCCCTATATAACATTTCTATTGGTATAATTTATACTTTTTGTACATATGACCGTACAAGAATCTATAAGTCAGACCAGTATCAGTAATTCATGAATCAATTATATCTAGTGTATTGTGTGGAATGCCATGTGACATGTTATTATATGAATCAATGTGATTATATCATTTAATTATTCGTATGTATCTATATGACATCAGTACCAATGCTTCATGTTTATATTCTATTAGTTATCAATGTGTCATTAATATCATAAATTTCATTTCTATGTCATTTCATGCGTATAGTATGTATCGATATTATTTATAACATATATTATGTATCATGTACATGTATTAGTCTAATAACTTATCATGTTCATATATTATGTCATATCATGTAACTTATATATCTTACATGCTCATATGGTGTGGGTAGGTCCTGAAACTCTTGGGTATGTCTAACATGTGCTTATGGAGGAATTCCCCAGTTATTGCTGCCACTATAAGTCTTTGGGGCATTCCAAACCTGAATATAAAATTCTTCATCCCCAGTTAGTCGTAACTCATTCTGTGATGTGTAAGGCTGTTGAGCCTGTTTTGGATACTGGCAATACTTCGGTTGAACTTGATAATGTCAATACTTCACCAGAACTAGGCCACGTGCTTTTTTTGCCTAAAGATGTTGAGCCTGTGGAGCGTGTCGTGGAGCCTGAGCATGAGACGGACCTTCCATCGTCTGTGGTTGCTTTGCTTCCTCCTTTAGAGGTTTCGGTGGAGGCTCCTAGGCCTATGTTTTGCTCACAGATTAATGCTAATGAGTGTGTTATGGAGGGTGATAGTACATTTCCTAGTGATATTTCCCCTACATTTGTTGAGATGTCTCATAATGGTTGTGTTTCTGGTGAAAAATTGGTTGAGTTTGTTGAGGGTCCTTGTGGTATTAATTTGGTCGTGGATGGTGGCTCCACGGATTTGGGTGGGTCAACAGCATCTCCAGTGACTGATATGGATACATCTGTGGAGGCTCTTAAGTCTGCTCAATTTATTGATGTGCCAGTGTCTTTAATTTTCAATGGCGATTTACAAGTTCACTTAGGTAAATCTAGAGATTTCTTTGTGGACCACTCGGATTGGTTGAATGTTGCCCTTGGTAGTCAGTATAGGGATCAGGTGGTTTTTGCTGACTCTTCTTAGGGTGGTTAAGAATTGTATAAGATGCATGTGGAGGAAGATGACTTTACCTTGGCCAGAAATCGTCGTCGCCAGAAATCCAAATAAGCTTTTTGGGCTTCCTCTGTTTGGTTGTTGTGGCTTTTTTAGTTATATGTTTCTTTAGATCTCGATTTGCGCCTATTTTTCGTTAGACTGGTGGGTGTAGCTGCTATTTTTAGTATGGGCAATGATGAGGCGAGCTTGCGAGCTTACTGATGGTACGACTTATTGGCAACCATTGCTAGCGGGTTCTTGCTAGTCTCCTTTTTACTAGCTTGTTGCTTGTCCTTTGGAGGGTCCTACTCTATCATTTGGGTGGTCGTAGTGCTTCGCCACAACCTGAGCCCGCTTTGGTGATTCACCCCTTTATTTTGGTCGGTTTCCACTATTTATAATTTCTTTAACTGTGTTATGCTTTATTTTCTTTCGCTGGTTGTATCCTCTCTTTTTATGAAATAAAATTTCATTCTTAAAAAAAAAATCATGTAACTTATGACTATCTTATGCCATTTCATGTCTTAACCATATAAAGTAATGTTATGTACACACATCATGTCATATTTATGCAAGTCAGGACACCTGGATCATTTCGTGTTTTTCCTATATCAGTTATATCATGTCCTATAAGTCTAACCTATACGAATCAGTCATATCATGTATTAGTCTTATCAATCATAAGTCAGGTGACTTTGTTTAGGAGTTCTCTCTCCATCAATCATATGATATATCATTAATTTTTCTTATGTTTCCCTTTTCACATCTTTTAAGATTATATCATAAATATTTATTTAAATGAAAGCATGTCAACTCACTCTCCTATACAAGATAACTTGTCTTTGATTGATTTGAATCAATCAAATCTCTAGCCAACCTTTATTGCAATACACACATATGACATATTATGCACTTATTATGTATGATAGATGCATAAAAAAAAAAATGTATGATAGATGCAAATCATATTAATACTATGAACTATAACATATATAGTTGGTATGGCTATGTGTATGTACATCTTATCATTATACTCATGTCGGAATGCATGTCTTGTCAGATGAACTATAATTTGTGATATTATATCAAGCATAATATATTAGGTGTAGGAGTCTAATTCATTTCTCATGTCTTTATTCTTATCATTTTAGTTGAAATGCAATGTATGCAAAATTACTCAGCAATATCTCAATATATTTATATCAAAACATTCTAAATGAATAAATCTATTATATATTAAAAGTCACACGATGAAAGTTTGTTAGATCGGAAGATAATCCATTTTTGTCAAGTTTAGGAGAGGGAAAAACTCAGAAATCAAAATCAACAAAAATAAAGTAGGATTAAGGTTACCTACCAGGTACATAATCACTTAGCTAATAAAGAAGATGGATATAAATGTCCCAAGATGAACTTTATCTTTCTTCCTCTCTCATTCTCTCACTCTCTTCCCCAGCCAAGACATGCTAAGGATGGGTGGGGAATGGCTTAGAGGTACTAAAATGAAATAATGGAGTAAGATATTAAAAAAGAACAAAAAAATTGAGTGATCTAGCGCCGCAACACTCGAGCCCATAGCATCATAATGCTTGTTCAAAGTATTGTAAATCAAGAAGACAATACCGCAGTGTCTAGATCTCTAACGCTGCAATGCTCGATCACCCCGAAACATCCAAAAAGAGAGTGAAGCGATGCTGCCTTATGTTTCTTTGACCTTGAGGGCATGGTTGTTGTGAATGGTTGATAGTGATAGAAATAAATTTTTATGAGTGATTAATATATATTAGGTATCAGATTACTATTAGATTACTAGCATATTACTAAGAGTTTATAAATAAGCCCCATCTTTGAAAATCAAGCCATCAAGCAAAAATTATAGAAGACAATGGAGCCTTCGGTACTCCCTCTCCCCCTAAATATCCGAAGTTGTGAGCATCCGGCAATTGCCTAAATCCCCATCATAGATAGAGTTTTAGGAAAGCTACAATTTCCTAATTCTCAATATAGTAACTATTTTTCTATATTTATTCCGTTTTTTTTTTCTGTTTGAGTTTGTATCGGAGTACTTCTACAATACTTATATTTTGTGTTATGATCTTAGGCCGAACAGAAGCAACATGGACGGTCAAGATCTCTTACAGTAAAGCAAAGAATGCAATGCATTGCTTAAGTAGGAAGAAAAAGATCAAGGAATGATTATATCCTCTTAAAAGAATTGGAAACCATCATCTTCCCATTTCTTCCCCATATCAAGATGTTGAAATAGATGAATCATAGTCAAGAATTTCATAAATTCCTTGCATATTAATAGCAAATACCATTTCATTCACTGAAATAAATAATTATTGGACTGACATACCAAAAGTGATCGACTCTTGCTGCCAGATCAAGCAAGCATGCGATGATGAGGATCTCGGTAATAGATATGATTGACAAAGAAGGTGATTTTCGCCCATCGATCAAATGTAAATAATGTTCTGGAAACAGTATCTATCACAGATACCGAGCAAAACATTCAAATCAGTGCTAAATCAGCAGCTTTTTGAATTTTAAGGCTTTGCTCAGGACAACTTTTTTACTGCTTCTTAAATCAGTTTTTTAGTACAAAGTAAGAAAGCCGTCCCGAACGAAGCCTAAGGCTTCTTTTGATATGACTTTTTTATTACTTTGTAAAGATGTTTTTATTACATTTTTTTTTTTAAATAGGAAAAAAAAAGTAGTCTAAAGCTGTCCCAAACGAAACCTAAAGCAATTAAAATCACTTAGATTTTGGTGCGAAAATCCTCCTCATGCCATTGGAGAAATCATATCTATGATTGTTGTCATAAAACATGTTTTTTTCATTTTTCTATTAAAAGTTCAATATTTTATATTTATTAAAAACATCATAACTTTTGAGGTTTTTGGATTTTTTTTCATAAACCATTAAATTATTTTGAAAATTTATAAATTTTCTTAAATAATTTTCTCATAATATATCACAATCAAGCTAGTATTTCTTATTTCGTGATGATATAAAACAATAGTCACATAAATTTAATTCGGAGAATGGGCTTTCTACCTTCTGATCAGCAATACTCCATCATACTTCCCTTTCAAGAAGTCTCCTAATTAAAAAAACTTCAAAGAAGGCTGACTACTTTCGGTTAATAAAAGAACTCCCCCTCATCATCATTGATTAGTAAAAAGCTGAAGCGTTTGCCTTCTCCAACCTCCACTTCTTCCTATCTCATTAACTCATCATTTCAATTCCACCACATTAACCATCACTTCTCCTTCACTTCTCTCCAACCACCATATAAAAACCTTAGCCACTTCCAATTTCTTTAACAAAGCCTCTAACACCATGAGAAGGCTAACAAAACACCTCCTCCTCACCTCAGCCCTTCTCACTGCGCTTATTTCAATTATAATCGAAGTCTACTTTCATCCTTCTCCAATTTCCACCACAATTGTCTACAAGTCTCTAGCTAGCCCAAGCTCCATAATTAATGACTTCATCTCTTATTTTCGCCGCCACCATCACCACCATCATCGGAAGGCAGCTTGCAATGACTCTAAGTGGTCACAATTAATCCCACCTCATCAGAGCGGAGCTCAAATTTTAACCGTCGATCTCAACGGTTGTGCTAACTTCAGCAGTGTGCAGAAGGCAGTCGACGCCGTCCCTGACTATAACCCTTATCGCACAATCATTATCGTCGACTCTGGTGTCTACAGGTTCAACGTACAAACACTTAAACCTTGAGTCAATAATGTTGATAGTATAAAGTTGTAATGACTTGTTTCTTATATGTTGTGTTTTATTATTAAAGAGAGTTTGGTGTGAGACAGGGAGAAGGTGATTGTGTGGGAGAATAAGACTAATGTGACAATTCAAGGGCAGGGTTATCTCAACACTAGCATTGTATGGAATGATACAGCTAATTCCAGTGGAGGCACCATTTACAGCGCCAGCGTCTCCATCTTTGCGTTCAACTTTGTTGCCTACGACATCAGCTTTCAGGCAAGTGTTTGTATACCGGTAGAAAGAAAAGAGATTTCATTTTACATTGTGTTGTTTCGATCTATTATATTTATTTTGATGAGAATCTATCATACCATAAGTTTTGTTTTATATTAGAAATATTTAACAAAAAATTTAACTTAGCTAAGGATATTTTTGGCAAAATTTTGCTTGGGATTGCAAGACAGTATCAAATTGCATTTTTCACTGAAAGACAATTACAGAATACGATATTGCAACCATATTTTGATTCCGTATGTCAGATTACAATATGATAAGTACATGTTAACCAACAAGGCATGTCACATCATGCTATAAACAAAGCCCATTCTATGCATTAATTATTCAGTGCGGATCCAGAATGTCGTATGGAGATCAATCAAAATGTGACATATCACCTCTTCTATGTACCGCGGCTCAGTACTGCTCAATATCGCTGACGTGACTGCACCTGATTTGCCTCTGGACGTACAGCTCCGTCTGGCCACCACACAGAATAATTTCTCCATTCTAAAACCTTAAGTAGTCATTCGTGTAATTTAATATTTAATATTAGGTGTCATACTAATTATAAAAATATTGTTAAATTGTTTTTTTATCTCAACACTTCCTAATGCTAAAAAATATGATTTTTATTCGATTAAATATATATTTTTTTCATTTGATTCCATTTCTAATTTTAATTTACAAATATACTTAAAATAATAAAATGTTTATTATAACATATATGATAAATTATTTAAATATTAAGATACTTATATATAATAAATAGAAAGAAATAATTTGTACCATTTTTTAAGATTATTCCAATAAATTTGGTTCAGAATGCCCTAAATAGTATTTGATGATGAAAACCCATAGTACAGAACACAGCGCCGGCAGCATCGCCCGGGGACGTTGGCTCACAAGCAGTGGCGCTACGGATCGCCGGCGACCAAGCTGCGTTCTACAACTGCGGCTTCTACAGCTCCCAGGACACTCTGCTAGACGACAAGGGCCGGCATTACTTCCGCCAATGCTTCATTCAGGGTTCCATTGACTTCATTTTCGGCAATGCTCTCTCCCTCTATGAGGTACGCACGTACTCAACATTTCTTATATTTAGGGTTTAGCTCTGCCATTTAATTTGCTCACATTTGATGGATTGTAGGAGTGCACAATCAATTCAATTGCCAAGGAGGTGGTGGCCGGTGTGAGCGGCTGTATCACGGCTCAAAAGAGGGAGTCAGAAGCGGAGAGGACGGGATTTTCGTTTATGAATTGTTGCGTCACTGGGACTGGAAGAGTTTGGCTTGGTCGAGCGTGGGGATCCTACTCTACAGTCATCTTCTCCAAGACTTATTTGCCGTCTATTATAGTTCCCGAGGGATGGGATGATTGGAACAATTCTTCAAACGATAAGTCAGTAAAAACATAATTTTTGTTTAGATTGAAGCTTTGTTTGGAATAGCTTCCTTCCTGTTTTATGAGCTACCTAGAAAATTTTGTACTAAAAAATTTGTTTAAGCAATACCGCGGCTGGATACTGCTGACGTGTTGCATTCTATTGGTCTTCGGACTGCATTATGTGTCCGGTCTCTGCACAGAATAATATATCCCAAGATTAATTATTTTATGCTGACTCTGAACTCCGTCCGGAAACCAACTAGAATGTGTCACGTCATCCCTTGCTCGCTACCAGTGATCGGTATTGCTCTGTAACGCTCGGTACCATGGCTCGGTACTGTTGACGTGGCGCATTCTGGTTGGTCTCCGGACAACGTTCTGCGTCCGATCTCCGCATAGAATAATATTTCCTAAGATTAATTATTCATGCGGACGCCAAACGCCGTCCGAAGACGAACTAGAATTTCCACATCATCCCTTGCTCGGTACTACTCGGTACAGTGGCTCGATACTGCTCGGTACTGCTCAGTACCGCAGCATGGTATTGCTGACATGGCGCATTCTAGTTAGTCTCCGGACGACATTCTGTATCCGGTCTCTTCACAGAATAATAAATATCAACGTATTATAAGGAATTGAAACAGTTTAAATAAGAATTGTTAATTTATATCTTCACATACTAATATAAACATTTAAACGGATTAATTGCAGAACAATCTTCTTTGGTGAGTACGAGTGCTGTGGCCCGGGAGCAAACTACACAATGTGGCCTAAATACGCTAAGAATTTGGATTATTCTGAGGCAGTTCGATTCATGGACATCTCTTTCATTGATGGGAACGAGTGGGTTCTGCCACCTCGTAGTAGTGATGGGCGTAATCCATGCGATAATCAAAATTATGGGGAGCTTGTTAGGGATTATTGAGGATTTATTATCACAAAGGTACAGGTGAATTGAAAGCTTGTTTATGCTATTATATTATATATGTAGATAATATGTATGGGTTGCAGGTAGTTTTCTGACACGAAATTAATTTATCCATTCGCTTGTATTTGATCGAATCTACAGCTATATATATTTTGTTCTGACCTTTTAATTTATTACATGTTGCATTGCACAAGATCGATTCCAGGCCGAGCTGAGGCTGTGCCTGGTGAGAGCACCCAAATGAACAATTGATGATGAGTCAAATATTCTTATTTGCTTGTAGAGCCTAATTTTCATAATTGTGGTTTGGAATTTATAAATAATTATTTTAAATCTAAGCTATTCATATTGCCCAATAACATGAATCAGGCTTCAATATGTACAGCAAAATATCCGCCAAGTCGGGTTCAAATGAAGTCAACTCGAATAAAACTAACCCTCAGCCGAGTTCGATTTATGTCAATTTAATTCAAACTCAAGATAGATTTGTCAAGTTTTCAAAGAGAACTCACCCAAGTTAATGACCACCACTTGTCAAGTCAACCATTATGTTGATTATTATTGGTTAAGTTGATCTCAAGGCATATTCATGCAAGAAATTTTCAAAATTAAAATAAGAATCATTCAAGCTCTGATTTCAACGAACTTATAGTCAAATTAAACATCTCAAAGAAACGAACACAACGACGCGAAAATCAGTCCAATCCGAGCCTAAATCAAAGGTCCAAAGCATATTTGGAGGCTTCAAAGCATTAATTGGATAACTAAATGATCATCGAATATGATATGCTTATAATCAAATTGAGCGGCTCGATGAGACAAATCCAAAGAGCCCAAGATCATTAAATTCTGACATCATTGAGACACTTAAATGCTCAATCAACGGTCTATGATCAAGAGAATCAATACTAACCTCAATCCAGAAATAGATGATGTTGCAAGTTCAACACATCCTCCACCTAAAACCCATCATATGCAAAATCTTAAACCCACTCTAAATACTCCTCGCAATGTTTTATGTGATTAGTTATGACATCTTGTCCAAGAAGAATTCCCAACAAGGGATAGAAACCAATTTAATATCCAATGCGGTTTCCAGTAATCATCTCCACTGACATACAAAGCACTCTATTCCAACAGGGTTCAAGTTAACAAACATTGATCCTTAAGTTGGATCATCTTATTCTTATGAACACATTGATCATTATAGAAAAATCGTGCACATACAACGAGCCTCTGATACACTTCTTTGTCAAATTTTCTACGCCACCCTTAAGCGTCAAGCTCGCACCTGATTCTACGCTTTCCCTAAAATATAATCCATAATTTCGCTCATCTTGCGAGGTTATTGTCAGCCAAAGAACTATTAAAGATTCATCTCATCTTTTTGGAATCCGTTAAAATGAAGGAGAATCTTTGAAAGGCTACTTTCTTCTAAAGCTTGACAAATCACATGAGTGGATCATGAGCTACTGCGACATGTTTTTCTTGGAGTATTACTCCCCGGGTCGTTCTAGTCTTCGTTGATGTTAGACACCATTTGTTCTTATGCCAGCCTAATTCACGTAGTAGAACCTCAAATTACTGTTGATAAGGCTATCAATATTCATCGAAAATAATTTGAACAAACATCAAATAAAAAATGGTCATGCACGAGGGTGGGGCCCAAAATCCCATAAAGAAATGAAGACATTCCACCTCACCCTCCTCAACAAAATCGTGATTATAATACAAAGAAAGAATAAACGCCATTGAATACAATATGTGCTAACATTCTTATGGCTATACAGAATGAAGAGAATGTAAAATGACCCAATTCACTGAAGTCAAATACTGACAATCAGGTTTATTATTGTCATTTTCATCACAGTCAGGGACACACTACTAAAACTTGCAGACAGTTGAAGGAAGAAATTAAAAGGTTGATCCAACATAGATATCTCTATCAATTTACAACAACAAAGGTAACAACAATCTAATCGTCAAATGGTTGGATAAATTTAAACCCTTGCTAGAGGACCCTTATTGTCTTCTCAGGTTCTTATCACTACCTTCGAGGAGCTAACATTAAAGAAGGCGCGAGATGATCATTACATCATATTTAACAAAACTGACATGGAAGGGATCTATACTCCACACCAAGACTAGCTTGTCATTAGCGCCGATATTGGATATCCATGTTATAATGTCAAAAAGAACCTTAATTGATAACGGAAGCTCGGTAGATATTTTATTTTACTCCACTTTTTTTAGTATAGGTATAGTCAGAGAGAAACTTCAGCCTACTGCTGGACCGTTGTATGGATTTGACAATCGTCGGATGCGAGTAGAAGGGACAATCACTCTCCTTGTCACACTTGGAGAATTCCCTCGATAGACTACCCACTCAATTCAATTTATTGTTGTCAAATAGGAATGAGCATACAATGCCATATTTGGGAGACCTTGCAATCAATCTTTGGAGCAATTGCTTCTGTGCCCCCTCTAAAAATAAAATTTCCAACTCCTGCTAGGATCGGTAAAGTACGCGGAAATCAACAAGTTGCTCAAACATGTTATCTCAGACAGGCCCAACCACGACCATCAATAACTTTGAGTATTGAGAATTTTGATCTTCCAGAAAAAGATGTTATACAAAGGGCTTCGTCTGTAAAAGATTTAACTTATATATCATTATCTGATGAACATTGCACACATACAATGCAAATTGTGTCTTTATAATCAGAAGAAGAAATATTGTAATACATAGATTTTATATGGCTAAATCAAGACGTCTTTGCTTGGAGTGCGGTTGATATGCCTAAAATTAATCCATAAGTAATTAAACATTCTCTTCAAGTAGATCCTACTTTCAAACCAATTATTCATAAGAAAAGAAATTTTGCACCAAAATGTCTGCAAGCAATCGAGTAAGAAGTTGATAAACTGTTAGATGCAGGATTTATTCATGAAGTACAATATTCTAAATGACTAGCGAATGTAGTTTTGGTAAAGAAGGCTAACGGAGCCTGGAGAAGTGGGTGGATTATACTAATCTACATAAGACTTGCCAAAAAGATAATTTTCCTCTTCCACGTATTGACCAATTGGTGGATGCCACTTCTGATCATCAAATGCTTAGTTTTATGGATGCATATTGTTGGTATAATCAGATAAAGATGAATCATGTTGAAGAAGAGGCCACTTCTTTCCAAACTAATATAAAACACTATTGTTATTAAGTCATATCATTTGGATTAAAAAATATTAGCATAGCTTATCAAAGTCTAATGTATAAAATCTTTAAAGATCTTATTGGCAATACAATGGATGTGTATGCTAATAGCATAAAAGTAAACACATAAAATGTTGGTCCAAGCCCGAACGGTCCAATTCAAACGTTTTTTGGATCATTGGAACCATTTTTCGACGTTTCAGACTCAATTTTGACACTTTGGAGGCCCAACGAAGCCTTTACAGTTGGTTTCGAGTTACTTCAAAAGTTTTGGAAATGAATTTTTCAACATTTTGTGTTTAGATCTCCACGCCAACTTCAGGAAATGCTAGAATTGTGATTGATGTTATTTTACTTAATTTATAGTCACAAAAGGACCACGTTGGCATTCAAGGGAGCACTCACGCCTCATAATTATTTAAAAATCGTAATTTTAAATCTCGACAACTTGAAGGGCTCAAACGTAAATTTTCAGAGTCTACGAGCTACTACATCCGAAAATATGGGGAAAACTAATATGTCACAAAAAATTACCTTGACCGAGCATGAAACTCGAGGCATATTCATGCAAAAACTTTCAAAATTAAAATAGGAATCATTCAAGCTGTGATTTCAACAAACTTATAGTTAAATTAAACATCTTGAAGAAACGAATACAATGTCACAAAAATCAATTAAATCCGAGCCCAAATAAGTCAAATCAAAGGTCAAGAGCATACTTGGAGGCTTCAAAGCATTAATTGGATGATTAAATAATCATCAAATATGATATGCTTATAGTCGAATCGAGCGTCTTAACGAGACGAATCCAACAAGCTCAAGATCATCAAATTCTGACATCATTAAGATACTTAAATGCTCAATCAACAGTCTATGATTGAGAGAATCAATATCGATCATCCATTCTAACACTCCCTAGTTAACATTGATCTTCTCTATATTTACAAGTCATGCCACTCCTAAAGACTATAAATAAGCCCCCATTCTTCACATAAAAGAAAAGGGAAGAAAAGAAAGATAGGAGGAAGAAGAGAACATTTGGAGAGCAACCTTGTCGTCGACCACCGCCAGAGTTCTTTTTGACCACCGCCGGAGTTATTCTGACCACCGTCAAAGTTCTTCTCAATCATTGTCCGAATTCTTCTCAACCACCATCAAAAGTCTTTCCAACCATCATCGGACTTTTGCAACAAGAGTACCTGTCTGAAGATTGATAAAATTTTTCAATACATTGTATTCTCTCTATCCTTGAGTTGAAGGACAAATTGACTTTTACTAGTGAAACTGTTTCGACTGGGCAAAGCCCTGTAGTTTTTCCCTTTCTCAAAATTTTTCATGTAAGAATCTTGATATTTTCTTTATCATTTATTTGTATGCTGAGATTTCGTATATCACCAAGACATAATATTTTCACTCTACCGTCATGAATTTTTTAGACTGCAACAAACCTAATTTAGCAAACAACTTTCTTACTTATGGTTATGCAATTTATGCTTCATTTAGGATGATTTTTTTACTGCTTTCTAAAAAAAAATTTAACACAAAATTTTTTAATTTTTGTATTAAAAATTATTTTAAGAAGTAGCGAGAAAGTCGTCCCAAATGAAACCTTAACAGCATGCACTTATGAGAAATTGGCCTATACAACTCTGGTATTTTTTTTCTTATTTTTTATTTAAGCAAATTATATAAGACTCAAGCCTCAATCCAAACTTATAAATGAGCCACAGGTTGAGATTAGAAAACACCATTTCTTATACTCAAGCTTATTCTAAGGGAATCACAAATCTTCTCACTCTAGAACCCCTAATTTCTCTCACTATTTCTCTACTTTCTCTTCATTAAGTATTTAAAGTTCTGGTGTGATTCACTAACAAATCTAGACTCAACAAGACAAACAAAAACATTAAACAGCTCTCGAACTGAAAGATGTCAACATTATACAGCTTATTATTGTTTTCCATCTGAAAGAATAACCTTACAGATACCCATTGATTAAGCCAAGTTATGTACAATGAAACTTCTCAATAATTCCTAATAAGAAACAAGCCAACTGCAGTGATGATAAGAGTTGATGGGAGCCCAAATCGGAGATGGCCAAAGAATGAGAGATTGTAACCAACCTGCGCCCTCCTGGCTTGCTCACAAACTATCAAGTTAGCTGCAGATCCCAAAAGTGAAAGATTTCCAGCTACGGTGCTCACCCATGCTAGTATGAGCCAAGCTCTTGTCTCTTCAGCTGGAGATATAGCTGCAGCTGACGCTGCCACCCGAGCACCAAGAAGTAGAACTGAAACAAGGAGAGCAATACCAGCAAGCTAAGATGATTGCAATTTCAAGCAATGGCATGCATAGAAGAACTTTCAGATCATATATGTGAGTATCAATTCATGAATGCATCAAATGTTTCTCGATGGAGAACTTCAGTTGAATGGGGGAATAATTTCGATTTAGCCTTCGTTTGGGACGGCTTTCTTGCTGCTTCTTAAAGCAGCTTTTTAGTTCAATAATTAAATTTTTTATAATAGAAAGTTGTTTTAAGAAGCAACAAAAAAGCCTTCATAAACAAAGCCTTAATATTAGACTTTCGTAAGGTTAATTTGCATGCCTCTATCATGTTCTTGTTAAATGAAATTAACCCGTTTATAGAAGTTAAGTTTCCTTTGAAACTGTTTTCTGACTGTTTAAATAAAAGGAGCTTTTTATTAAAAAAAAAATTTGAATTATAAATTTTTGTATTAAAAAACTTCCTTGGAATTGTGTGTAGCATGGATAGCATTGGAGCTTCTCCGGTTTGGATGCCCAGTGAGAACTCAGTAAAGAAACCTTCATTTTTCAGAGAACTAAGAGCCTAAAGCTCAATTATTTTGAAAGAAACAAATAAATTTCAGAAAGAGAGCACAAGGAATGCATTCGGTCAAAGCCAACTTTATGGGGGTATAGTTTTTGTCAAAAGTACTAGAACACAACCATAGATTTCTCAAGCTCTACAGTGAAGAAAAACATGGCATCTGGTGGTGACTTTTATCATGAAAGATTCTAATAAGAGACGAGTTACTAAAAAATTCATAAATAAGATAATTTTTTTATTGGTAAGCGCCGAAATATAATACATACAATCATACAATTACTTGAACTCATGACCTCTAATTGGAGGCCTAAACATGAGCCACTAAGCTATGGGGTGGAGGACAAATTATAGACAAACTTAGGCTACATTTGGAACGGCTTTCTTACTATTTCTAAAAGTAATTTTCTAGTACAAAAATAATTTTTTTTACTAAAAAATTACTTTAAGAAGCAATAAGAAAGTCATCCCAAATAAAGCCTTAGCCAACTTGTACAGCTTCTCCAGATAGGGCCACCCTGCCCAATCATGATCATGTTTGATGCACTTCTTATCCAAAACAGTTACCTATATCTCCATTGTGATTCAAATTTGATTAGTTCAAATCATATAAATTATGATTCCATTATATCAGTCCCATGCCCAAACCCAAGCTCGGCATTTGCAGAGGACCACACATTAAGTATACCCTTTACTTCGTTGAGGGACAAGAAGCAAAGACTATAATGATTTGATATCGAATCGAGGGCAAAACTCGTAAGCATGATTCTTTTCTGTCCATCACTCACTATAAGAATTTTGAGCTATAATCATTCTTTTTTTAAAAAGTTCTTAAAATCATGCTATTAGTTACAGGGTTTCTAAATATGTGAGTAAATATATCTTTTAATCATTTTTTCTGTAGTCATAATTTTCAAGAATGTGATTATTGCTTTAATGACTAAAAGGGTTTATGACAAAGAATACCTATCTAATCATATTTTAATTCAAAATTATGATTATAATATTTAGTCACACAATCAATTGTCACTGAGGTGATGCTATTAGCCACAATTAAAAAAAAAGCAAATCAAAGGGTGGCCGAACTCCAAATAGTTAAAAGGAACTTCAATTTAAGTTGCATTGTATTGTAATGGAGCTAGAAAATTTTTTTAGTGGGAGCATAAATTACTATTTTAAAAACAACATCAATAGTTTTAAGTGGATATCAATAACTCTAATTCCTAAAATTTTAGAAGGGGCACAAATACTTTTGTGAAAATATATAATATATGAAGACATCTTAAAGTTTTAGAAGAAGGGCATGCCCTCTCATGCCCCTCTTAAATCCGCCCTTGCCTCTTGGGAAGACATAAAAACTAATTTCAAGGCACCAAGTTTGTCCAACCAATGTAACAATGTGGGTCACCAGCAAAGATTATGTTGTGTTACCTATCAGGCTATTCACTACCTTCAACATGAATCATTAGGACATTAGATAAAAGATACAGTTATTGACAATTTGACATCATTGTTTGGATTATTTAAATGTTGTTATCATGATAATAGGTCAATTATGGATGAGAGACATAGCATTATTTGGCCTTTAGGTGGTAGTAAGTGACAATATACTTTTATCATTTGTGGTATCATTGCTGTGGTAGTTGGACAATCGTAGATATAAGATGGGCATCGTCCAAACTTTAGGGGATAGGGGATGCGATCATCATTATAATATGTATCAAGTCCACAACAGTTGTTACAACTAGGCGGATGTATGTAGGAGACGGACATTGTTTGTTCTTCAAGTGTTGGAGATTATATATGTAATCTCCATCATCATATATAGAGCATCTAATATTAGTATTAAGATAGGTGAGATGGTCGTTGATAACGAGCATTTTAAAGATAATGAATTTACTAGAACTGTTATGACATAAAGAAAAAAAAACTATATGTTAATTTTATGAATCTAATTACTATTGCTTTGAATGTGTTCTAAGGGCATCTCCAACCGAACGCCATTCGCCTGTTTATAGCTCCCGTGAGAGTCCACCCTAATGACAAATGGAAATGCATTTTTGTGTTTATCTCGGTTGTAAACAATGCGATATTGATATTGGCGTTATACTAATCACTGAAACATATCTTTTGTGTAGAAAAATGGAGGTTAGAAATGGAGATGAGAAATAATATACACAGAATATTCTTTTTTTTTGTGTGTAGAAATGGAGGTTGGAGATAAATTACTGTTTAATATGATTGTTACTATATTTTGAAGTGGAAAATAGATTGTTCGGTTGGAGATGCCTTTAAAATAATATTTCATTACTCAAATTTTAAAAGTTATCGCATATTGTATATATATATATATAACTAGTTTGATTTTGATGGAATCATCCTCACCCACCCCAAGTGAATTGCAAGGTTGGGGTAATTGGTGAGGACAAGAATCCCTTCTAAAACATGAAGTACTCGAGCATAAGCTATCCAAATATATATTAAAAAGCATATTAGTAATCGATCGTGAGTAAGTAATTTCAATTGCAAGTTTAAAGCTATCCAAATGTATATTAAAAAGCTAAAGCATTCAAGCTGAGTTATCAAGGTCATTTTGGTTTTGATAGAATCAACCACAGCGACCCTAAATGAATTTCAAGGTTGAGGATGATCCAAATCCGTTTTCAAACATGATGAAATACAAGTAGTCAAGTTGAAGTTATCCAAATATAATTATTTAAAAGCATACAAGTAAATGACTTACCAGTAGGTACATTAGAGGCAATATTTGAGAGGAAAAGAATAACCAGAGCTAGCACTGCAACCCCTTCCATAGTGTCAATGCGTGCAAAGGGTTCCATGAAGTCCCAAAGGGCACTTGGTAAGCCAGTTTGGTTGAATCCATCAACGGTTATAAACATACCACAAAAGAATATTAACAAGGAATATGATACCTGGTGCAAATCAGTATCATTTCTCTACTTCTCATTAAAAAAAGATTTATGAATCAAATGGATTAGCAAAAGCTGTTAACAGTACCATTTAGCTTTTCAAGATAACAAAACATTCAAATACAAAGAATACCTTCTCAAGACAAGGCCGTGCATCTTTGAAATCAAGTACAATCAAAGCCAGAGCAGCAGATATAGCACTCCAGGACATGCTAAGCCCCATTAGAAGTGCAATTAGCATTCCTACTGTCACAAGATAGACACACGCATTCCAGAGAAGGTCCTTCCATCTTTCAGTAGAACATTCCTTCTCATTCAAAGCCTGAGTGATAAGACTATTTGACGAACAATTCATCATGCTGCTACTTCTCCCGGTTGTGGTTAATAGTGCTTCATTTTCACTAATACTTAATCTATTCCTTAGATTATCTCCACGCCCGTACTCCTTGCATGATGAGCACTGAACAACAGCATCAATTCCATCGTTCAAATCAAGATTAGGCAAACAATTCAAGTGCGACATTGTTGCAGGAGAAAAGCGGTGGAAAGTAACATCATCTTCAGGAATAATCTCAGCCACTGATTCCACCTCCACTTCAAATTTCTCAGTCGACAACAACTTTGAGAAGTAAATGAGGAGAATGGAAATGTTCACAGCTATACCCAACACCATTGCAGGAAGAATACCAAACAAGAACTTTTCAAAAGTGATTTTGCTTTGAACGGCTATGACCAGGTTCTGAGGATTACCTATTGGGGTTGTGGCTGATCCAATGTTCGCACTGGATGCTAGGGCAAGCAGAAATGGCTGAGGAGGCAGATTGTTCTGGCGAGAAACCTTTAAGATGAACTCGGTGAGTACCACACAGCAAGTGTCGTTGGTGAATAGGGCACTTGAAATAGCTGAAACAATACAAATTCGACAGAGCAAATCCTTACCACCCTTACTTTTCCACGAGAGTAATCTGCCTAAATGTTTGAACATGCCTGCCCTTTCGAGGAAAACGCTGACTACCATCGTTCCGAAGAGGAGGCCAAGGATGGGGAGGTCGATGGCTGCAAAAGCTTCATCTGGGGTTGTAACTTGGAAAAGCACCATGAGCATGGCGCCTAAAAGAGAGCCTGCTGTTCTTCCAATAGGAAGGAAGGGAACTGCGGGGAAAACAGCCAATACCCAAAATATGGCGAAGGCTATTGAACCTAAGATTAGCCTTGCAGTGGGCGCCATGGCCATTTTTTAACCTTTTTCAATTGCACAGAACTAGAGCGTGCAAGCTCTTACAAGACCAGGAACTGTTGCAAAATTCTCCTATGCTGCCTCATCCCTTTTATAGAACAAGCTCTTTCTTTTACAATTCCTGAGTATTTAGATGGATGAAAATGAGGAAGCTGCGATCCAAAACTTGGGGATTTCAGAAGAATTGTGCGGATATGGTATCATGAGTCGGATGGCCGATGAAAGGAATATTTTATTTTAAATCAATTTTTTTATTATGAAGAGAAGGCCCGCAACACGCACAAGGAGGGAGACAGTTTGGTAGTATGCATGTGATATCTTGAAGGGCACCTTCAGTTATTGGAGAAGCTGTTGCGGGCGCTCGTACGATCTTTGTGAATTTTAAAAAAATTTCCCTTTAACTTTAAATCCATTTAATAATAATTCTTAGGATTTAATAATAATTCTTAGGTTGTCCAAGTTCATAACTTTATAAGAAAAATAAAAACTCAAGTACTGAGAGGCTATTTAATTTGGTGTATTATTGATGAAAGAAAAATCAAATGCATGTATTTTAAAATTTTGCTACTTGATAAATTATATAGTAAATATAATATAATTTATAAAATTCACCTCTAATTTATTTTTTGTTTTTTTTTTATTTTAAATTTGATGTATCTATCAATTTTTAAATATATTGAAAATTATTCGTCACTTAAGCCACTACTTCAACTATAACATTTTGACTCTCCTCCTTTGACCATCACCATCCTCATTCACTATTGTAAATGCCCCTTGTCGTCCCCCTCGACGCCGCTAACTGCCCACCACAGCCATTCATCATTATTTTCACCAACCGTCATCTTTCACTATCAGACATCTTTGTAGGGTTTAAATTGAATTCATTTTACTTCAAATCAAATAAAAAATGATCATTTTTATTTTACACTTTATTTTACACTCAATCAAATAATTTAAAGATTTTATTAATATATTATTGTTACATTTTAAAAAAATTTGTGATAATAGAGAATAAATGTTCACGTCTTAGCTTTCGCAAAGATCTAATACACATATTGATAGAACACAATAAACACCATAATTTTTAAATGAAAAAATCATAAAGGTAAAAAAATCATGAGTCCTCTCCTAGATAAAATGATCACCATATAAATATGCTACGAGAGTTTTTTCTTCTCTGTAATTGAAGAAAATGATATTAATATGTGACACAACTTTGTAATTATGTAAATATGGGAGAATGTCGGAAATACAATAGTTGGATGTTGTTAGTCTGGTAATATTGGTTGGATAACAGTTTCAGTTATGCTATTATGGTTAGCATATGTCAATGCGATGATGATAATTGAATAACAACAATTAGATAGTGATGATTATATGATGACAATCAGAAAACGGTGATTGAATAATAGCAGTTAGGTGACGACGGACAAACAATGGTAGTCATGAGATGACGATCAGATGATTGAATTCATGTAATGGTGATGGCTAGCAGTGGTTGTTGACGTTGAACATAAAGTAGAACTCCATAGTTCTTCAAATCTCCAAGCTCTCTCCAAATTCAAATATAGGCCTCCTTCATGTGAAAAATAAAATATTTATTATACTGTTAAATTGATCATTTTGATAAATTTAATCAAATTTTCATAAAACTCTTTCCATGTCTCATATAAAATGATTTGTTCATAAACCATTTGGTTTTCATTTTAAGTGCTTGAATGGCCTCACATGAAATGATTTTGGGCTCGTTGAATTTGTCTAGTAGAGCTTCTCATTTTGATTATAAGATTTGGAAACCATTTGATCATTCAATAAATGTTTCAAAATTTTTAATTATCCTTTAAATGTTTGATTTAAGTTTATTTGGATTTAAATGGGATCATTTTGGGGTTGTTTGGTTTGATTCATCAATATGTTCAAATTGATTATATATTTGTTGAAGTCGTTCTTCACTAGATTTTAAATTTAATTATGAAAATTTTTAAATATTACATCAAAATTCGCCTTCATCAAACTAAATGTTCTTAGGCCATATCATTTATATTTATTTTATAATATATTCTTTTATCTCTGCCCCTAGGTCAAAATAAACTTATTTAACTTTGTTTAAATAAACGTATGTATTTTTTTGACATAATAATTAAATTAAAAAAAAAAAACAATTTCTCCAAAAAGTAGGTTGTTCCAGTCTAAACTTCAGAATCCCATAAAAAATGTTTCATCATTTCGCATTCAAGTTTTTTATTATAAAACAACCAATCGAATCATAAACTCAATTACTTCAGAATTTTCATGATTATTTTGAGAAATTTGGTTTGTCTGATGATTTAAGATGCGATCGCATCCTAACCCATACTGCTATCAGACTAGCTTGTTGCACGCCCGCATCTCCTCCTTCGCATCGCGTCCCCTTTCTACTTGAGTCCGCTCTGAAACTCGCTGACGTATTACGTGTTAGTGGGTCAGGGTGGATCAGCCTGATAACCCTATGGGTCAAGTCCAGATCAGAATTTCTAGCCCATTTATAAAATCAGATCGGACTCATGTCAGTTGCATAGGACCTTGGTCAGTTTCGGATTTGATCCAATATCCGATTCCGAATACCTATTTTGATACCCCTGATTTAAATCCTTAATATTTCATAATTTTACATTTTTTATAAAATACTAGTGTGAGACTGGTTACTGATCAGAACCTTAATTCAACCTTTCGAATTTTTGCGGTTTTTTTTTTCAGATGCGGTATCGAATAAATAGATATTTTTATCATACAATGTATTGTTTTTTTTTTATTTCTATATGTGTAAAATATATTAAATATTTATTTATTAAAAACAAAATATTCCACAAAATTTTGTGAGAGTTGTTGGGATTTGGTACTGAGGAAAGCGGATTGGAAAAGTGTAGCTATTTATAATTTATTGGATTTTTATGATTTTATGTGTTTTATATTTTTAGCACTTTTGTTTAGAATTTAAGATTTTTACAATAATTAAATTTAAAGAGAAGAAAATTTAAATCATTTTATTTATTAATCTTACATCAAATCAACCAGAAAGTATTATATAAATAACTATTTAATATTGAATTTAATTTTTATTCTTCCGGAGGGATTTCAGTTCTTTTAAACTTTTAAATAGGAGAAACTCTCCAATTAAGGTGTCAAAATAGGTCAATGGATTAGGATTAGGTCCGACCCAAAGTTGACTCGTCTTGAATTCAATTAATTTGAACCCGATCATTTTAATAAATGGGACAAAAATGGAAACTCAAACTCGGTCTTCTGGCAACCGAGTAACCTGAACACAACCCAATAATTTGTTTAAATAAAATTATAACTCGTTAACAATGAATTTTATATTAATTTATTAAAAAAGAGGTAAGACAATCATATCAACAAATTAAAAAAAAAAGACTAAGTCAAAATTAGTTTAAATGGATCATTTCGAAACAATATTGGGTTGATGAATCAATTCAAATACGACCCATTTAATAAATGGGTTGAAATTTCAGACCCGAACTCAACATGTTTATTAAACATGACAACCTTAATTGATTTGCATTTCATGTACAAGAGAATTACTTCAACTAAACTTGATATTTTCCAACCCAAAAAATTACTATGGCTATATGTTGGAACATAGATATTCATTGATTAATTGAAAGACTATAACTTTGAAGATAAAAACAAATAATAAAATAGGGGATATTTTACTTTATATGACTCCAACTATATATAATTAGAGAAATAAGAAATATCCTTGTTATTTATTTTTTAGTCTAAAAGTTCTTTTTTTTATGAAATATTCCACTTGCATTAATATATTGCTTATTGAAGTCCACTTAGAAATTTATATTATTCCATAAAATTTATTCTACATCATTTGGTTATATGTGAGATATGCATCAACCCAATATCTCAAGAACTTCTCTTCATCTCCAATAACATACATAAACATAGCTTCAATCCTCTCGAAAGAATCTTTCCTCTTCAATAGGTTTTTAGATAGCACCATACACGTTCCTTCATTAGGTAATCAAGCCATTTATATGCTACAAAAAAATTAAATATGATTAAAATTATTTTCTATCAACAAATTAATAAAATATTTTTCTTACCATCTAATTATGTCATTAAAGTATTTAATTGTAAAAATTATGTTGCGCTTCCACATCCTACTCTTATCTCCATCTCTTTTTTTTTCGAACGTGCATTCTTAATGCTCTTTTCTTTACACAAGTAGTAATCTTTAAGTCGAATATTTCTAATCTTCTCCTTTAATTCCTCCTCTAATAGAATTTCTCCAAATATAAACCCAATGATTGGAGGAAATTTATTAACTTTGAATCTTTTGGTGCCCTAATTTGAACATAAGCGAGCATCCCTTATTCTTTCAATCAATAATATAAGATGACTGAGACAAATCAAAAAGGCTTTAAACCATGCTTAAATCTTGTTTGAACTAATTTTTAACTATACTCAAATTTATTTGAATCTTTTTTAAAACTTGCTCTTGTCATACTAGTACTTGTTTGAATCTTGCTCAATTTAGGGGTCTAATTGAGTCATTCTGTCTTGTGAGCCAGCTTAAGCTTAACTTGATAAATAGCTTGTGAGCCAAACTCAAAAGCTAAAGACTCAATGTTCAACCAACTATGACTCAACATGTCGGATCGTGTGCTTGGTAGTTTTCAAAAGGTTAATATATGATGCACTTAAAAATATATTATAATTCAATGATTATAGAATAAAGTTATTACAATTATTCAAGAATTATATACATCTTTTTGTATTTCAAAGTGGTTTATTATTATTATTTATTATTCTCTTTTAATATATTACTGATACATCAGAAAAAAAATCATCTTGATCGAGCACGAATCTCGAGGATAAATTAAGTTGGAAACTTCCAAAATTAAATATGAGATCATCCGAAATTCAATTTTAGCAAACTTATAGTCAAACTGAATGTCTCGATAATACGAACCCAACGACACCAAATTCGACTCAATTCGAGCCAAATAGGTCCAAATCAAGGACCCGAAGTGCCATTAGAAGATTCAAACCACAAACTTGGATTGTCAAACGGGTTCCAAACGTGACATTCTTATAGTCGAATTGAGCGGCTTGATGAGACGAATCCAATGTGCCCAAGATCATGGAATTATAACATCACTAAGACCTTTAAATGTCTAGCAAACTGTCCACGATCAAGAGATTCAACATCAGTCGTCCATCCAAACCGCTCACAATTTACCCATGATTTTTCTCTTATTTATGGGACATGTCACTCTAGAAAATCTATAAATAGCCTCATCCTTTCTCTTGAAAAGGGACCCCCAAGCAAGGAATCAAGAGAGAGATTGGAGATCACTATTTCCTCGCCCCTCCTCGACCACCTCCTCGACCACCGCCCCGGACTTCTACCGGACCACCACATGATGCCAGAGTTCTGTTGGACCACCACCCGACATCAGAGTTATGCCAGACCATTGCTTGACGTCGGGGTTCTTTTAGACCACCGTTTGACGTTGGACTTCCGCTGAAGCACTGCCTGACGCCCGAGTTTTGCTGGACCACCACCTGACGTAGAAGTTCTACTATACCACCGCCGGACCACTGACTGTGGCCCAAACTTTTGCCGGACCACTAACAGAAGTTGGAGTTACCAGACCACCGAGTAATGCCCAGACTTCCACCAAACCACCACCTTACAACTTCAGTCTTTTTGACCCCTATCTCCTACCGACTATGGTCCTTCTGACCTCCATCACCTACTGTAGTCCTTCCGACCTCCATTGCTAGATAATAGTCTTTCTGACCCCTATATACTGCCGACTATGGTCCTTGCATCCTCCGTCGCATACTACGATCCTTCCAACCTCCATCGTCATATAATGGTATTTTTTACCCATGTCTCCTACCGACAATGGTCCTTCCAACCTCCGTTGCCTACTACGGTCCTTCCGACGTCCATCGCTACATAATGGTCTTTCTAGCCCCTATCTCCTATCGACTATAATCCTTCTAACCTCCGTCGTCTCCTACGACCCTTCCGACCTGAATTGCCAAATAATGATCTTTCTGACCCCTATCTCATGCTAACTACGGTCCTTCGGACCTCCCTCGCCAGACAACTGTCTCCCATCGACTATGGTCCTTTTGACCTCCCTCGCCAGACAACGGTCCTTCTGACCACCATCACCAAACTACGATATTTTTGACCTCCGTCGCCCGCTGACTATGGTTCTACCGACTAAATGAACATTTCAATACTAATTATTCCAATTCCCACCATGTAATATGATGTACATTTGCTACATCAACCCAATGCCTTCTCCCAAAGAAGGGTCTCATTTTTAATCGACAACAAATAATAGTGGATTCATTCAAACTGTTTCAGACCTCATGATTTTTCTACCTTTTCAGGGGTTTTCACATAAAAAAATTGGCGTCTCTTATGAACGGTAGACATCTCTTTTATCTGATTGTGTGTTGGATCTTTGTACAAAGCTAAGACATTAAATTTTATATTTCCTTATTGTTGTGAATATTTAAGGACGCAATAGTTATAATAATAATATTTTGAATAATAATGATATTATCTCTTTTATAATAAATGGGTAGGCTCATGAGCTGACTTGAACTTATTAAATTAAGCTCGAGCTTAAGCTTGAACTCAATTACGTAATTAAGCCCGTGCTCAAGCTAGGGTGGTCCAAGCTTGGGTCTACTCGTTTACACCTCTAACTGAGTCATATTCAAAATTTGTTTGAGCCTCTCTCAAACCATGTTTTAATAATGCTCAAACATTATTAGAACAAGATTCAAATATTGCTCAAACATGATTCAATCAAGTTTCAGATAAAGTTCAAACAAGTTTCAATATAGTTCGAACAGGGTTGTAACATCTAATATGATGTCTAATGAGGCTTAAGATTATCATGTGAATAAGGTTCAAAACCTTTATTATAAGTTTGTAATTTTTTTTTTTTTTTAAACTCAGGGTTATTCTCTAGCCTTCTTCCTCTTATAGCCTATACTTACTAATGATGAATGCAACGACATCTAAAATAAACAGAAGTACAACATCACTAGCTTTAACCAAATGGTGTTAGAAAGTTGAGAACATAGGTGAGAAGTTTACTGTAGGCTGATTACACGAGCTATGAGATAATCATAGATAGATAATATATTGGATAGAGGAACATTAGAGCATCTTCTTTTTTCAGAAGCTAGTCTCCATTTAAGAGTAATGACTCATATTTTAATATCATAAAAGCCTATTTAGGTTGGAAATCACTGTCTCATAGCTTTCATTTTCGACTTTTATTGTCCGCCAATTATGATCCCTTGGACCACCATTCCCCACAGACTACGGTCCCCATACCTCCACCCATTAATTACGGTCCTTCCAATCACAGTCGACCACCGACTACGGTCCCTTCGACCACGGTTGCCCTCCAACTACGACCTCTCTAACCACCGTTGCCCGACTATGGTTCTTTCGAGCACCGTTGCCTGCCGATTATGGTCTCTCCTGTCATTATCGCTAGCCCGACTATGTTCCTTCCGACCACAGTCGCTCGTCGACTACGGTCTCTTTGACCATCGTTGCCCGACTACCACCCTTCAGACCACCGTCGCTTGATGACTACAATCTTTCTGACCGCATAGCCTGACTACTGTCCTATTGGCTAAAAAAACATGACAATGCTCTCTTAAGAATAATAGCCATGGTATAGTATATCACTATATTGTATACAATGTACATTTACTATGTTGAGCCAACACTCTCCTACGAGGAAATGTATTATTTGTAACTAACCATCAATACTAGTGGATTCATTCAACTTGGGCCAGTCCCGTGGCTTTTTTCATTTTCAGGGTTTTCCATATAAAATTTTTTGTATCTCGTATGAATGCTGCACCACCATCTCTTATATGTTTGTGTGCTGTATCTTTGTATAAAACTAAGACGTGTAATTATCTATTTTTCTACAGCCGTGAATTTTTAAGGGCGCAACAAACATAAATAAGAATATACTCCTCATCTCTGTTAAGATCCCACTTATGACAAAGATTGACGATAGAGAAATCAATAGTGGCAGTTGGATTTTGACAAGAGAGGGAGATGTGATTGAAGTTATATGTGAAGAAATAGAATACGGGACAATGAATACTATCTCATCATGACTTCATAGTTATTAGAGGGAGCTTTGTCCCAAAGAGCAAGGGAGAAATTATTGTGCGCGGAATTCGGACGTAGAGTTACATCCAAATTGTAAGTGTACACACGGTGCACTCAAATGTATACACTCACATATCCGAATATAGAGTTATTTCGAGACTCTGCACCTAATAATTTCTTATAAAAAGGAGGGGAAGATTCTATAAGCCCCTTCCATGCAAGATCCCATTTTTTTTTAATTATTATTTTTAGCAAGATCCCATTATGATATTATAATATTCAATGAGATCCATCCTGATTTTATTTATCGTTTAGGATTTCATTAACTCTATTAATGAAATTGAAAAGATATATTTTTCAAATAGTAAATTTTAAATATTAAATATATAAATTCTATAATTTTTAAGTGTTGTACATGCATAGTTTCAATTAATCCCTCTGTCTTGTTCAGGAGATGAAACATTGAAACTAATCTACTAGATAATTCTGAGGGCCATGCCAATAAGGCAGTCAACAACCTCCAAGGCAAATCCTGGCCTAGGGTTATTTCGGCCGATTGTGCTGCGGCCGACGTTCTTTGTCGACCCAGCATCCTCGTCGCTTGCGCTAATTTTAAGGACTTCTTCAATCTCGCCTCCTGCTCTCACTTCATTCTTCACCGACGCCGCTCACAACGCGCTACGTCGCCACTTTAGCCTTCTCTCTTCTCTTTGGCGGATTAGGTTTTCTTCTATAGGTAACCTGCCATCTGTTTCAATAACGGTTTCAATCGTCCTTTGTTCCTAAACTATTATTTAGTTTCAAAATTTTTTCGTTTGTCCGTTCAAAATTTGATTTCAGCCTGAAATACTTGTTAAATTTTTTATTATTTCAGAGTATCCTTGCTGCGAGTTAATCTGAGTTTCGTTCTTTTAAAATGTCTTGGTGCACCATCGAATCTGATCCTGGTAAGGCTTATGTTATCCTAGACTACTTTATTTTCTTTGATAATATCCGATCCATAGTAATGGGCGGAATTTTGCTCATATTTAGCTTCAATCTTGATTTTTCCTAATGTTTTGTGTGTTATAAATTGTTTTTTAAGCTTATGGTTTTCCTTGGGCTAACATTATGTCTTCCTTTTAATGCTTGGCTATAAATTTTGAGAATTAGAGCATCAAAATATTGTAGTGCTTTTGGTTTAAGTGCTCTCATTTGCGATTATCCTACTTTACAAGTTTTTTTTTTTCCTTCTTCTGTTGAAGATTTCCTTGAAATCTAATCTCATAAGTCCTGCATTGTCGTTATTAACAATATTTTGTTAGATATCTTGCACTTTCTATGGATGATTATCTATATTTGCTTTTATTAATTTCAATCTATCAATTGTCTCCAGACTGGCATATGATTTTTATCTCTTGATATTTTGCGTTTATTATGAATAGCATCTGAATGATCATTGCATGAGAGAATTGTGATCTTGATAAAAGATTGTATTGACATGCTTATTGTAGATTTTGATCATGTTATGAGTTTATAAAGTGAAAATGTGAAGGATAACTGGCTAATTCTTAAACGTCAGCTATTTGAAGAGCCATTAGATCAAGAGAGGTTGGCGAGAGTGCTATATGAGGAAGAGGTCATGAATTCTTTACTCATAAAGAAATATCTCTCCCACAAATCTTTATAAAAGAAATAAAAGAAGAGCCCGCTGATTGCTTCTTGTCATCAATCGACAACCCCTAAATGAATCAAATGGAAAGCGGACAACTGCTAGGATTATTTTTTTGTTCGTTATTATAATTATTTATTTTCTATTTCCTTCTATGTGGCTTTATGTATAAAGACTAATTGAAAGAACGAACAATCTAAATTTCCAACCTTTGTTTTCCCCACTTTTATTCTTTCTTCTCTTTATTATGTCCATTTTTTTATTTTTCTTTCAAGGACTCAATTATTATGAATGGTGAAAATTATACTAAATTAGAAATCCAGAGGCTACATTCTTCATACTGCTTGGATGAAAGAAGCTACCTGAAGTGGTCATCAAGGAGGAATGAGCCCAACCAAAGTCTCTGACAAGTTCTAGACTTAGAATTGTCATCAAATAACAATGATCAACCAATCAACACACTTTCTTCTATGTATTACATTTTCCAATACATATAACTTCAAAATTTACTGCAGCACATAAAGCTTTCCTTACAAACATAAACTCCAACACCGTCAAAATATCACAAACCTTGTTCTAGAAAATAAGAGTTAGAAGGGTGCCACGAGAGAATAGATGAATGCTTAAAAAAATCATACTTGGGGTATATTTGAGCTATCAAAAGGAAAAAAAAAGTAGTTGCAAATGGCTTTTCATTAAAATACAAAATATATGTAGGCATGGAGCGATACAAAGCACGATTAGTTGCCAAATGATATACTCAATCATACGAAATTAATTGTGAAGAAACATTTGCTCTTGTTGCAAAATGAATACAATTTGCATTTTAATTTCTCTTGCTGCTAACCTTGGATGGAGCATGTGAAGAATACTTTCTTATATGAGGATGTTGAAAAATAATATATAGATTTTCCACTAGGGGTCGACAGCTCTTTTATACCAAATAAAATGTGTAGGTTGAGAAGGACACTTTATAGTCTCAAATAAACCTCGAAAGTATGGTTTGACATAATTTTATACAATCCACATATGGAATGAGGTACAAATAGAGTTAAGGAGACTATACTTGCTTCATAAAACACTCCATTGATAGAAAATTTGAAATTCGTATTGTATATGTTGATGATCTAATTGTTACAAGTGATGCCAGTAAAGGAAATAAATCACTTAGAAAAATTTGCCTAAGAACTTAAAATCAAGATATTGGCCTATTGGGCAAACTTAAATACTTTTTGGGTATCGAAGTTAATAAAAAAAGGAACATTTCTCTTAATAAAAATATTTTATGAATTTATAAAAGGAACCAAAGATGATTGATTATAAGACATTTGAAACTCTATTTAAATTAGGTCAGAAACTCGATATAGATGAAGTAACAAAAGTGGCATAAAATAATATCAAATATTAGTTGAAAAATTAATCTATCTATCACACACATGCCTTGACATTGTTTTTACAATATGTTTTAAAGTCAACTATGTATAAATCCAAAAATTCTCACTTTCAAGCTGCTTATCTTAGGTGCCTTAAATCAAGTATAGGAAAAGTAATTACTTACAAAATCATGATACTCTACAATTTGAAGGTAATACTGATGCTGACTATATGTGGTCACCAATGGATAGGATATCCTCTTAAGTATGCATTTGTGAGGAAACCTTATAAAATAAAGAAGCAAGAAACAATCTATTGTTTCAAGATTCATCACTGAATTTGAATTTAGAGTAATTACTCAAGATATTTGCGAACACTTGTGGATTAAAATCATTTGAAGATATTTAAAAATTAAACGGGAAGAGCCTATGAAGTTATATTGTGATAATAAATATGCCATCAACATTGCTTAGAATTATGTGCAACATGATTGCATCAAGCATGTGATAGTAGATAGACATTTCATAAAAGAAAAATTAGGAAGTGGATTGCTTTGCACTTCACCTCCCGATTGGAAAACAACTTATTGATATATTCATCGAAGGACTTAACAACAACACATTCAAGAATATTATAAGCAAATTTGGATTGATGGATTTTTACCATCTAGTTTGTGGGGAGGGTTGAAGAGCTGTCAAATTAGGAGCGTCTATCAAGAGTGCTAGATAAGGAAAATTAGAAGCCACGGATTTATTGCTTACAAGGAAACACCTCTTCCCTGGATTTGTATACAACAAAAGAAAGAAAGAGTTCATGAATTTCTCCCTTAACATCAATCAACAACTCGTAAATATATATCAAATGGCGGGAGGATAGTTGCTGAGATTATTTATTTTTGTGTGTTACGTAATTATTTATTTTCTGTTTTCTTCTATGTAACTTTGTGTATAAATACTCATTGAAAGAATAAATAATCCTAGCTTTCCTAGCCACATTACCAATAGGTGTCCCCTTTGTGTTTTCTCACCTCAACAAAATCTTGTTTGCATTTGAATCTGTACTCCAGGACGGTTTTTAGTGATTTGTTGAGCTTGCATTGGAGTTCTTTGATCATGTGCAGTGGGCTTATATGGTGAGTTCGGAATGATTTTGTTGCAATGCATGCTGAAGGGTGGTCTTAAGCCCAGATTTCTAAGCTAGAGCTGATGATTGTTGTGTCATTATGTTGTTTGAAAGTTTGTCATTCTTTTATTTACAAACGGGACTTGCTGTGTTTATAAATGAATGTTATGGCTGATTTATAGTAATGTAGATCCGTTTTAGCTTTTATGTGTGCTATTTACCGTAGCTAAGTTGTAGTTACCTCAAAATCAATTTAGTATAACTGACTTTCAATAGTTATTGTCTTAATGATTTATTGGGTTTTAGTTGCATAAATACTTTATTTTGATTGACTTGGATGGGCAGAAAATGTAGTTGTTAGTTCTGGCGTTCCTACTTAATTTAAGATTGTTTCTTTGACATGAATAGGAGACTCACTAATGAGGTTGACTTCCCTTTTTTGATTTTAGATCTCATTCGGGAAAGTTTCAACATCTTGTATTTGTTGAATTGTTAAATAGTGAATTAGATGCTCCATTAGGGTTTGAAATTGGGGCAACTTTCATGATTTTTTCATCAAGAACCATGTTCGTTCCTTATTAAACGGACCTTTGATTCTAAATTCTAAATTTTGGGCATTGCACTTTGAACTTTTATGGCCTCAGAAAAAGTTTTATTTTAAAAAAAAAAAATTAACAGTTGTGTTCTTTTAAAGAAATCTTTGAGTCTAAAGATGTGGCCAAGAAGAAAGGTGATGTAGGACATTTAGGGACTAGGGTTCTTAATGCAAACCTATGATGAGATATGCAAAGAAACATAAAAAAAAAAAATCAAAATTCATACTTTTTCAACTTTTAATTTACAGTATGACCAGTCATTTTTTTATGGAAAATAAGAAAACTCAAATCATTCCAGGCAATAATATAAAAGTTTTCAAAATTTAAAATTCTATGATAATTTTATAATGAATATGGTGATTACCACAAAAATAGAAATTAATTAGTATCAAATTTGATAAGATCTCAATCACGCACACAAACTATGCATTTAATAGTTTAGTGGAAAGGGCAATGATATAAATCACTAATTAGAAGATCCAACCCTATGTTAGTACAAGAAGGAATTCCATTTGGAAGTTATCATCAAGACTTGTAAAGCACTTTAAAAATCTACCTCAAACAGCACACAAGTTTGAGAGGATATAAATTTTATTCATTCATTTAATGAATTCTATATGCTTTAGAGATCTTATTTATAAGTCAAAATACTCAAAATCAGTCACTTCTTAGAATTTTCCAAGATTTGGTAAAATATTGCAGGTTTTAATTAATCAAATTTGGATTCCAACAGGAATAATTAGTTTCCAATTCAAAAGTCAGGAAGAAATGTTCACTTGCATCATACCTAATTGAAAATGAGGAAGTCAATTTCCGTGTTTGTCACAGCAGGATTTCGAGACTGCTAGCCGTCTGAATTCCTATTATAATACATATTTCGATTGAAGAAGGAAATTTCCAAGTCTATTATAATAACCAAATTGGAAGGTAGCAAAATAGAAATCCAAGCTATAGTAGAAAACCCACACCAAAGGAATCAATCAATCAATTATTTGTTATAGTAAAATTCCCCAAAACCACCATTAATAAACAACAAGTTGCAGAAGAAAATCGAACACAGCACTTTTACATGTTTTGCAGTTAACAAAACTGTACCAACCATCTTAACAGTTCATGATACCTTCTAAACCGGGAAGGGAAAAAACGTATTAACAACAATAATCAATAAGAAAATGAGGCAACTACGATAACTACCAAACTTATT